CGAACAGACCAGACCAAATAAGGCCCAGATGCCACGAGAGTAAACACAAGGCTGATGGACCAAGTTTGGGCAAATGTGATTCAGAGATCCCTAATGCTACAGATTTTGCCTTGCAGGATAAACTTAATAATTCTCTCTGCGTACACTTATTCGTGTTTAAAAAGGAAGTCTCTGCGTAAGCTCCATCCGTCTCTGTCAGCCCCAAGTGCTTGTTTGTGAGGAACAAACATTGGAGACGCTCAGCACGAACCAAAACCACGAACAAACCCTTTCAGGAGGCAGATCAGTTCGTACGCGAGACTCAGAAAAACCCAACAGACCCCCAAAATGCACAGAATCGCCGTTTCCTGACCTGCCAGGCTGACGCTGAAGGCTGTCCAAGGGTTTGAAACCCTGGTTACAAAAAGGAAGACGGTCACCTTGAACACATCTGTGTTACACCTTCTATGGGAATTCCCACAGCTGATCTGCATTTGTCATCAATACCCAGGTGCAAGAAAGCGTTGAAACTAAATTAAACACTGCTCTACAGGACAATTTGCTACATAAGTGACATTTATTAATGTTCCGCTATATTTACAGGTTTAACATCGTAAAACTCCAAAGTGAATTACCACTTGGCAGAAAGCACAGAAGTGCACATTAAATCTACATTTATAATGCATCACAGTCTCTGCTAACACAAATTAGAAAAGCAAGAATTACAGGGATGTTAGGAATTGTCTCTGAAGTCCCAAGCCAAAAGAAAGGAAAAAAAAAAAAAAAGGCCTTTGTTTTGCAAGGTAATTTTTTATACAAAGTTGCAACACGATCTTTTCGTTTTTATACTACCAACGTGTACCGTGAAAATCCCTAGAGTCCAAAAAGTAGGTAGTATGAAAGTAAAGTATACTACAACATTGAGAATAGAGACTATTAAAAAAACCTAATACTTGTGCTGCCTTTAAATAACACTCTGGTCACACCCCCGCGAGCTGCTGGACCGCAGCAGCAGGAAGGTGCCAGCACAGCCATGCCCTCACTTCGGCTCCTGCGCTCCCCATCCCTCGGGGTGTCAGCGCTACCCAGGCTGTTCGGGACAGCCCAGAGCCCGCAGCGCCCAGGATGGAGAGGAACTAAAGCAAGGCTGTCCCCTGCTGGCTCCGCGGCCAGGGCTCACGCACCCACAGCCCACAGACACGACCTCGGGAAGGCTGGATTAGCACGCCACAGACTCCACTGCAATAGCTTTTTTTCAAACATTAGCCACTAATGATTCAATGGTTACAGAATTCTGCGTTAATTATTAAAATTTTACACCTAGAAACAAATAGAAAGAAATGCTTCTCCTCTCTTTTTCTTTTTTTCCCAACAGTACTTTTATTTATTTATTTATTTGAAAGCAGGTGATTATTTTTTCTTCTGCTCCAGAGTCTCGATTCACTTCCTGCAGGTGTCCTCTTGCTTCTTGAGGGAGGATTCACTAACGCAGGAAGACGTTTGCCAGAAAACATCTGTCGGAGAAGGATATTGAATATTGGAACTATAGTTAGATGGTTATTTTGGATAACAGAAGGATGTCGTTCACAAAGAGCACAGGATGACTAAAGGCTTATAAAGAATCCCAGTACACAGTGACACAACTCTACCAAAACACTTGGTAGTTTCGTGCATATTTTCCAGTTCTGAAGAGTTAAAATTCCTTAGGGGAAAACAAGACACTGAATCAGACAACGCTCTTAGAAACACTGGCATCCAAACATCACCGGAGAACAAACGATGCTGCGTTTGCGCTATGACAGCAGGACTGGACTCGGTCTTTAGCTGCTGCATCCACCCAGGATGATTCTGACTTTTGTGTTTTTCTATCAAGGGTTCAGGTAAGAAAGAGGCAGCAGCTCCCACAAACTGTCCAGTCCAGCCGTGCTGGCCAGAACTGTCCAAACCTGAGATCCAAGAGAAACCCCGGCACCTGCCCTACAGCCGATGTGCTGAGACACTGCCAGGGCTCACGCCCGTTCCCAGCACCCGCAGGTTGATCAGCAAACACCAAGCTTTCCGTTACATTCATTTTCACCAGGAATTATTTTCTGATTTGCACTAATTGTTCCTCCCCTCCTAATTTTCTAAAAGTCACCCCTGCTCTGAAATGATCATTCACCATGCCCCTCTCATTAGCCCCGCAGAGGAAATCTAATCTTCAAAATAATAATACACTGAAAATCCAAGTCTTTTGTGGTTTCCCTGCTCAGAATTTAGGATTAAATATTTATTTGCAGGGGAAGTGTCAAATAATAAGTTTTGTAATAATCAGAAATTATTCCAGACATTTATCTCAACCTATCTAAAAGAGAGTGCTTTTTGAAAGCTCTAAAATTACAAAAAAAATAAACAAGGAAATAAATAAAAATTTAAAAAACCCTCCACACCTCCATCCTCACAAGCGAGGAGTCAAGCAAGGTCTCTAAAACTGTAATTTCAAATTCCAAACACAGGAAAAGCCTGTGCAACAAGAAACCACGGAGTTCCTTTAATAAATTAAAAAAAAAAAGTTTCTGCAAAGAAGCAAAATGAAAAAAAATTGTTCAGTGAGAACAAACTACAGATGATAAAGCTGATGCTTAAACGCTCACGCTACGTGAGCATACAGCTGGGGGAAATGAACCCTCTGGTGACTCAGCAGGAAGGAATTTGAGAGGATATTAAAAATCCTGGAGGAGGTCATAAACCATAACTTTGTTAAACAGAACTGAAACACTTAAATAAATTGACTGAACTATTTTTACACACTATCACCAGTGGAAAACTCAAGCTGGAAAACACTGCACAATGGCCGTTCTGTGTAGCACGCTCTCATTACAGACTACAAATGAAGCAGAATCTGAGGCAATTGGCAGTTTCTAACAAAAGCAAAGTGCATTTGGAAAATCAAGCCCCAGTTTTAAAACCTGAACAGTTTAATGACCCCCAATTTAAAGCTGGGATTTGTTTGGTTTCTTTATTCCACTGTCCCAGCTGCAATTTCTTAATTTTCTTGGGGAAATCTAGTGCTGTTAGGATATTTCTAAAGGGAGCACCACGTTGCACTCACCATCTGGGAAGGAACCTATTAGAGGATTTCCTTCCCCTCAGGGAGGGACAGTCAGTGCAGGCCATTATCTGCTGTGAGCAGGAAATTATGCTGGAAGGGTTCAGCTACTTAAGCCTCCTTCTTTAAAGTCCCATTAAGAAGGCAGCACCGTCAAGGTTCAGCCTTAAAGCGAAAGACTTTTAGGCACTGAGGTTTTTGAAAGATGTTCAGGCAGGACAGTACGCTCAAGTATGTGGGAGGGGTTTTCAGAGAGCAAAGGTGTGCAAGAGTTTAATTTCTTCAGGAACTTGGCAGAAAATTCAAACAGCATGCAAAATCCAGACAAATTATTCTTTCTGGGACATGAGCCAAAGACACTGGCACGGTCTTCTAACGCATTTTGGGACCTTTACTCACGTTGAGGACATACCACGCGTTTCAGGCATGCCGTAAATTCGGAAAAACACACCTGCCAAATACAGTGCAACACCAAGGGGCAAAGATTTTGCTCTCACAATTCAAGTTATGCAATCTAATGAATATGAATATACAATTCCTCAAAGCAAAAACTTGGGAAGAAATGTCAAGTATTCCTCTGCTCCCCACCAAGCCAGTCTGGACTCTGTAGAAACAGGAGCTGGGTATGGGATATCAAGAAACAACTGGTTTCTGCTACCTTGCGTACTACAAATATTCAAGCAAAGAAAAGTCCAGCCTAACAGAGACACTAAACAGAGTTAAAACCAAAACAGAACAAATTGAGGAAAGCAGAAAGTTTACCTTTAGTAAATAAAGAGAACTCTGGTTCTGGGGAGAGTGGAAAAAGTATCTGGCATCTTCCTAACCTTTGCATAATTAATAAATCCTCTGAGAAAGAGCAGAAAACCTAGATGGAAGAAACACATTTGTCCAGTTAACACAGGTGTTGCTTCTGCAGTGAGGGAGGGAGCAGTCCAACTCACCATTACTAGTATGGAGGGACAGAAGTTGCTGGGAAGCACAATAGCTGATTTAATACAAGGATTTTTTTTTTTAATCAATGACATCTAACCTTTCAATTTCAGGCAATCTCAAAAACAAACTTTTAAGCATGCATTGCCCCTTCCCCTCCGGAACAGGCACTCACCTAGTACAAGGAAGACCCACCACAACCAATACTGGCCATCAAAGTAACCAGGAAAATAAGTGGAGAACTACAAACAAACAAACAAGATACACGTTAGAGCACATGGCAGCTTCTGAACCCAAATCTCTTCTCACCAATTGCAGCAGGAACCAGCCCAAGCCCGCTGCATACGAGACAGCTTACAGAAAGCTACATTTCATCACCTGCACAGTCCGCAGGGAAGCTGCCTCTGCGAACCTTCATTTAAGGTTTTTCTGTACACGTCAGAGCAACACTAACCAAGGGGAATGGAACAGATTCAACACCCAGCCACAAAGTCTTGCAGACAGTGGAGCAGAAAGACACTGCTGCACACATACTCCTGTCTTCCCTGACATCTTTGATGGTTATAAACCACAGGTGCAGTTTCTGAAAGGGAAGACCAGGTTTGCAGCAGTGCATCATGTTGATTATGTGTAAGGTTGGATAGTACAGCGAACAAAAGTACAGCTGACAAAGAAATCCCCCATCTGTGGAACCCTCTGACAAGATTTTCTGTTGGGAAAATTACTGCCTACTGAATGAAAGGCACTGACGCTATCAGAGCGTAAATACAGGGTAACTTTTTTTGTTTTCATTCTATTCAGGTTTAATAACCTCACAAAAGGTAAGCTTGTTATCAAAGTTTAGATCAAATCCACGGTAAGGTCACCTGCTTCTGTCACCCCTCTTAATTCAGCAAATAGTCCTTAACACCACTGTTACACGATGACCCCAAAAAGCTCAGCTTTCTGCAGAAAAAGGTGACCGATGCTGTATTTACAGATTACAATTCCCAGCCCAAAGAGATCCGGTATGAAGTGACAGCCCTAACACTAGTGCTTCCTACTTCTACTTACGCACAGCTAATGAGATTTTTCGCTTGAAATTCAAACTTTGGCCTAGGATGTCTTCATGCCATTTCCACAGACATCTTATTTTCATGGGCTCCAAGGAAAGCTTTTCTGATATTTTCTCACAGTCCCTCCAAAAAATAGGGTTTGTTTTTTTCCATTCCTTCCAGCATCAGCACATCTATATTATTTTTTTCTCCCCTCCCAGAAAGGTTTCTCTTTCTCCCCCTCCAAGTTTTAAAAATACTACGTCAGCCTTTCTGGCTTCTGTGCCCAGCCGGGCTCTATCTTCCCACCCAGGCTGCGCTAACACAGACCTGATCACCCCCCTCCTCTCCATCTATCTGCTGGAGGGGAGCACAGTGGATGTTTCAACAGCCTGGATGTGCCCAGAGTTTATATGGAAAAAAAAAACAACCCAGAAAGGCGTGCTTCCTCCGGATCCCCTCCTGCTTGTGCCGCAGGCACGTTGCACCAGAGGGCACCAGCGGGCTTCTCCCATCGTGAGACAAAGCTCTGGCTGCCTCTTCTTCCTCCAGCAAAAAGCAAACCTCACACCTCCTGATTTTTAAGTCCCTATTTCCCTTTCCTCACCGGCTATCCCACATTTTAGAGATTTTTTTTTTCCCCCCCGAGGGGCACCTAAGGAACATCATACCAGAGAGGAACACCCCTATGCCGACGGCAGGGCTTGCTTTATCTGGATAAATGGTTTGCAAAGATCAGATCGTTGTTATTGCTCAACACACAGACAGTTTGATCCAATACAGTGGCTCTGTCAGACACCACCATACCCGAGTGTGCAATCTTTCTTCTATTACAATAATAATTCCAGCACATAAACAGGGCAGAATGATGAAAAAGCTCTGTTCTCTGTGAGTAAGGGGCTAAAAATCTATTTCGTTATGAAAAGCTAGATTTATAACTAACTTCAGTATAAGTGAGATAAAAAAACGTGCTAGGAAAAGAGTGCCAGCATCCATGTATGTGTTTCTCCACCACACAACTTACCCTGACAATAAGGATCCACTTAATAAGAGACAGACCAAAGCCAGAAATGGCCCCGTATCGTCCTGCAGCAGAAGTAGTCAGACAGAAAGACAGGAAAAATCCAATCCAGTTGAAGAGGAATGCCACTGAGAAAGCAGGAGAAAAGCAGCAGGTCAAGCCCTCTTTATATTCCAAGGAAAAAAAAAAAACATAAAAACCTTGCACACAGGTTTTATATAAATGTAAGTGTGAAAATAATAACTCTAGCTATTCTGGGTCACTCTGAAAAAACATAAGTTCCACCATATACTTACTGAAGAAAGTTAGCATGAAAATGCCATCATTGCCTATCCTCAGCTGGTCGGTGTCGTCAAAGTCATCCCGTGCCACAAAGTCGTCATCCTGCACATCAAACGGAGACAAGACCGGGTGGATTTCAGTCAGTCCAGTCCACGCAACAATCCCAGTTCTGCATGGGGCTCTTCAAGGGCCAGCAAACTGTACAGAGCTCAGAAAGCAGTGTAGCATGGAGGGATACAGAATGCTTTATTTACATTTAAAGAAAGCGCCCTGGGGGGCTTAATCTCAAAAGGCGACAAATGCAAGCAGGAAAAATTCCTGCCTCTCATCCTGAGGTGATGCAGGGCATGAGACACTAAGTAACCAGCAGTATTTTTTTTTTAATGATAGTCAAGATCCAGCATGTTCTTGTTCTCACTGTAGAGCATTCCCCTACTCATAAAAAAAAAATTTAAACTTATAATCTCCCCAAGGAATTCGGCTTCTATGAAGAAGTATAATGAGCAGTGGACATCTAATGCTGGCAGGGGTGGAGAAAGAGGCTGAACAAGAGATAATGTTGAAAAAAAAAAAAAAAACAAACCAAAAATAAATTTAAAAAATAAAAAATAATTATTCAGACATAATGATTTTATCATCCTTGTATGAGGTACACTGACCTCTGGAAAAGTCAACTAAGTAAGCAGCAGGAGTATCAAGGGTAGATACACTAGATGGCGGAACAACTAATCCTAAATCTGTTTTTATTTAAAAAATAAAACAACCAAACAATGACAGTGCACACGGATACAGTACAGTTCCTCTGTCGGCTTGCCAAACCCATCTGGATAGCACATGCTGGCATTACTGAGATGTCTTACATCACCATAGCCACCCAGAAGAAAATATTTTTAAAAAAACAACAAAATTAGCCACAGAACTCGTGGGAGTGTGTAATATCACCAGTCCAGAAAGATTAAAAAAAAAAAAAAAGGAAAAAAAAAAAAAAGTCATGACACTTGATCAGCAGGAGCTAAACCAGAAATTCTACAGAAGAGATGTGAAGGACACAGCTGCAGCCAAGCGCACTCACCCTTCCAGGAACCAAGGGAATTGTGGCTTCAGCCTTGGTTCTCTCCGCCTCGTCGTAACTAGGCAGTGTCGTGGCCACGTTGTAAGACGGAGGCTTAGGAAATCCTGACTCATCCTTGTAGTCAAAATAAGCTGCAAAAACCAAAGTTATACAGAAGGTAACATGTCGGTTCCTCAAGAACACCGTGTTGGGAATGAGAAGCGTTTCGGATTACTTCAAAGGACCACAAAACCCCAGAGTGTAGAAGCCTGTCCCTCCTGTCCCCTCCCAACGGACCTTGCCATGCCAGAACAGAAAGTCAAGAAGACAGGAGCACCTTATCTCATCTAAAGGACTACGCAGAGCACTCCTTTAACATGTCTGGCTGGATTTATTTTTAAAACAACGCTACATGCTGTGTCTCTCCTGACTGCAGCAAACAGAGGCAGTCACCTTCTCAAATCCAACGGTTTGAGTGAGTCAGAGGGATCACTGCAAGGCTCAGGCCACTGGCGACCAGTTTTTCCAGAGAAAGACTCCAAATTATTTTCTGATGGAGGGGAAAGGGACTGGAACAAAACAAACACAGCATTTCTGAGCCCCAGTCGCCGAGACGCACTGAGGAACCCGACCGAACAGGACACTCTGCGGTCCGTGTGCCAGGGGACGGCACTCAACAGGCAGCTTGAGAAACACAACAGAGTCGGTGGCTGGCTGTTTGAGACTGACAGTAGGAAGAATTTGATTCACAAATCTTACTTGAACAGTTGACTGTAAAAGCTCTAAAGGGAAAAAATGAGAAGATTTATCTAAGCCAAAATACTCTGATACACAACCAACACAAACCAAGCTGGTTTGCTAAAAGCTGTTAGTGACATGACAGTACGATGATTCAGAAGAAGTATAATCCTTATGACCAAGTCCTTAGTTATTGAAAATTGCAAGAAGAGTGAATTCTTTAATCCCTTTTAAGTAACAAGTCCTTTCTGGAAGGAGCACAGCATCATCCAAATGCCAAATAATGAGAGGGGAACCACAAATCCTCATAGCACTTTGATTTTAACTGTCTTCAGTCTCCTAAGAACACTGTGAAATGTAACTCGAACACCACTCGATGGGATGACATCAGATGCATGCAGCCAAAATGCATCTTCTAAACCACAAGTAACCACAGTTTCTCTGGATCAATTCTGATCCTGTGCAGCCTTCATAGGGATGCTGCAATGCTATCTGTCAATAAGGAGAACACTTCAGGAGGTAAGGAAGAACAAGAGAGCAAACCCAGCTGTTTCCCTTCCGTTAAATTTACCTGTGTTCTCCGCAGAAATGCTGCTGTACGGCGGAGGGGGATCGTTCACCACCGGGGCAGTCTCGCCTGGCTCCTCTTCATTCTGCAGCTGAACAGACCCACACACCAGAGAGGTTAACAGCGTTTCTCTGAAATTGCCTCTGTAGTTCTAATTGCATGTGACAGACTCTTCTGGAAGAAGACTGTTCTACAGCATCACGGGGCACGCAAGCCGTTGCTCTGCTTCGTACCAAGGCTCTCCCACATTTAATGATCAATGTGCCATCCCAGTTTAATGTGCTTTTAAATCGTATCCTCACACACCTGGACTTCCACAAAGCACAGCGTGCATCTTCCCAGTACCCTGCCATTCCCCTGGCATTTTCTCTGATTCCTCAGCTCACACTGCTTAGGAGCTGCAGTTGCATCTGTTTTAGTCGAAGAAATACCATGAGGCACCCAACAGAAGACTCCCTCGCCGCCTGTGGCTTTGCTAAGGAGGGGTTTTTCACTGATACATTACATAATTCTACACATAACTCTGAATCTTGCCATTTCCCTTCAACGTTTCACAGTGTGTGATGGAAAAGGAGAGGGTTTATTTTGCACACTGTGCTTCCACAGGCTCTGCACAACCAACCACACAGCTCACCCCACACACCCTGCCGCTGGCTCGAAGCAGGGGTGCAAACGCAGGCTTTGGTCAGAGAAGCTGGGATATCACGCCAGAAGTGTTCAAAGCACAACGCACCAGAAAGGAATTTACAATCAGCTGCCACCTACGCTTTTTTCTGCTTTCCATTTCTCATCATCTCATCAACAAAGAAACCGAGTTTCGATGCGGAAAGACAATTCCTGTCCAAAAAGCACCTTGGAACAGAACCGCTTGCCTGAACAGAGCGGTACGACCCTCTTTGGAGTCACTGCAACTTCTTCCTTAACATCTTGAACTATCCCTCCTGCACACCCCGCTAATACTCCTGAAGCTATCTATAACATTTTGCTTTCTTTTCTTTAGAGAGACATACTGCCATTCAAGTCCTTCCCAAGCACTTAAGGCTGGGGGAATGATGATATGTTCTTATTTTACTTGTCTATCTTATCAGGGGAAAAACACCACACTAATCAGCTCACACTTCTAAATGAAGGTCTTGCTTTATGCCTAACTGTTCTGCATCTGGGGTTTTTATTCCTTTTGCTGCCCAAGACCGAAGATCAGACTACATCCATGTCCTCTGTGAAAGTCAAAGACAAACCTTTTTCAGATGTCTGAAGTGCAATTCGTTGGACGTTTGCATCCAAACCACAGCTGCATGACTGAACTGTGAGCCACCCAAGTCCTCCAAGCTTGCTGAGAAGAGCGTGGATTGTTTTATTTTCTCTGCCACTAACCAGACAGCCGCACACCTCCATCAGCTGCACCACCGCCGGCACGCACAGACGAGGATCTGCAACTCAGTGGAGACTGCCTTCCCAGACACATCAAAAAATATTTTAACCACACCTGCTGTTACAGGAGTCTCACCCTGTAAGGTTTACATGACTTGGGTTGATGACACCAGCACTTCTGCTGGCAGGTCCAAGGGTTGGACAAGAGGGGGAAAGGGAACAAAATGACACTGGGAAGCACTGGAAAAAATTCAGCAGCGCTGTCGCCCAGTCCAGCTGTACCAAAACCACAGACCAGCACAGCCCCGTGCTGTGTCACTGTCAGATGAAACTCACCCTGCTAACAGCAGCCTCCAGCCTCTCCCCATTCACATTTTCCAAACAGGAGAGGGGGAAAAAAAAGAGGGAGCTGGTCAGCCCCAAGCCTTCTAGATGAGAACTCCCCACATGGCACAAAGCTGAACCACTTCCTTGAAAAAGGAGAAATTAATTAAGTGATCTGGATGAAAATTTAATCCATATTGCCCCAAGAGCATCTGCCCCAAGAGCATCTCCTAGCACAGACACTGTGGCTGTCGGCAGGGGACATCCACAATGCTGGCCCCGGCCAGACGTGGACCCACACTGAACCCATCCCTTTCTGTGCCCCGGAGCGAGGCTGCGGGGTGCACAGGGCGTACCTGCCTCACAGCTGCAGCGTTAATTAGCCTCAGGAACCAAGCAATTAACACCATGAGCTGCAGCAGCTCCTACAACAGCAATGCATCTTCATCTTCTTCAAACCTGCTAACTCAGTGTGAGCCCTTCCCTAGAACAAAAATGCCTTATTTTACAAACCCCATGGAGTCAGTCATTAGAAGAAAATGCAAACTAACTTGTGAAGTAATTGCCTAATTAAAATAAGCTTTAAAAAAAATAAAAAAGAAGGCACTGCTGCAGAAATTCAGGAGCAGCCTGCACACAGCACGAGATGGGCAACCCAAGGGATAATCCCATAAAATATAGAATCAAACCAGTTGATTCAGTCTCTCCCAGTTCTGGAGCCTACGAATTCTCAGAAGATGCTCCACCATGCTTATTTTCAGTCTACCCAAGAAAATTCAATACTTCTCTTTTTTTCTTCTGCCTATGCAGGACCCAGTCTGTTAACGAAGGAGGAACGGCTCTGACACAAGGGACACTCTGGATACCGCATGTCCTGCATTCCTGGCTCTCCTACAGGCAGGGTGGCAGGAGTTAAACCCTGATGTTCGTAAGAAAGAAGACATATACAACCTGAAAGTACAGTCACCGAGGACGAGGAAAGGAAAGCACTACATGTGACAACACTGCAAGAGATGGGACAAAAGAGGACACAGTCGAGTGTGATATCAACTCTCACTGCTGGAATTCTTACAAGGTTCTTGTTCAAACAGTAAAAATAAATATATATTCTTATAACTACCTCGTGTGGGAGAAGCAAGCTGGAATTACTGCGAGCTTCAAACCATTAGAATTCAGGTAATGACACAAAAAACATGGTTACTTTTTAAAGCTGAGCTGGAGGCTGTAGAAGGTATACAGTTAGAGAAAACAGATTTCTCCTCTAATGGACAAGGTACACAAATGCCTTCCAGCCTTTTTAATGAATCCAGGCATCTAAAATTCAACTAAGTGCTTATTAGCAGAGCAGGAAGGGTTCATGTGACGGGAAGAATGAGTCATCAGGCCTCGCATGGCCCAGCACCGCTGCACAGCCCTCGCCTCGCCTGTTCCGCCCTGCGCAGCGCCCGGTACGCGGCGACGGAGGCTGCGGCACGCGGGTTTGCGGGCGATTCCCCCTCGGGCCACTGCTGAGAGCCTCCAGAACCCGGGGAACCTGATTAAAGCAGTGTTTGACTGTAGTCTGTTTTGCTGACGCTGCAGGGTGTTCTTCCTTTGATTCACTGAGGGATTTTTCGCTTTTAAAGCTTGTATTTGTGGCATTAAAAACCAGACAGGCTTTCCAGCAATGCACACAGTTATTAAAGCAAAAGTCTGGCTGGGATTTTTTACACCAGATTGCTAAAACAGCAGAAAAGTTGCCTGGCAGAATGGAATAAGACCCAGGGACATTTATTTTCCAAAAAACACCATCAGAAGCTTGGCTCTGAGCAAGACGTCGCCTCTGTCTGCCACTTCCCCAGCTTGAGACACATCACGTGTAAGCACACAGCACAGTAGCATTAGAGTTCAAAACTTACCAAATGTTTGGAAATATTTCCATGTACACTTTGAAGAAAGCTTTTCCAATAAATCTATTTCTTCTATATATTTTCTGACACAGTTTTGGATATTTTTTTTTAACCTCCCCTTGCTCCAAGTCCTCAGGCCACACGCAAATATTCTTTCTGCTAAACCAGCGCTACTACAAGCTTCACCTTCACAATGTATCATCAGCAATATACAAACTCAGACATCTATCATCCACCTTCACTGCTTTTCAGTTCTCATTTTATGTCCTGGCACGCAAGGCAGAACTGCACAGAAATCCCGCAGAGGAATTCTAGAATGAAGATAACCCTGACCAGCTCTCGGTTTTGTTGTTACTATGGTTTCTCTGTGATTTCAAAGGCAGATATTTAGGCTAATGGCAGAAAGAGAATCAATATTTTTTTAGAAGGTGACAGAATTGATTTTTTTCAGAACAATGACATCATAACCTTTGCAAGCCAAATGTTAAAATAAATAAGTATGTGTAGCACTACTAAATTTGAGAGTACTCTGGCAAGGCAACAGCCCGCACACAAAAGGCTGCACTTCACTCCCACTGCAGCAGCCCTCACTCTTCTCCTCCCATACCTCTGGCCTTTTGCAAGCAAATGAAAGTTGCTGCCAACTCTGAAGGAGAATTTTTTTTTTTTAATTGACGTACACTTCACTTTAAACATACCCTGATTTGAAATCCTGACTTTTGCCCAAAGCTGTTGCAGATTATTGTAACTTAATATCAGCTTATTAATCAGCACGAATCATG